GTGTGTGTGTGTGTGTGTGTGTGTGTGTGTGTGTGTGTGTGTTACAGCATCAGCAGGCGTGTGACGAGATCATCGTGCTGCATCTGGGATATCTGAACTACACTCAGTACAAGATCAACGTCAGCTTCAGGAGCCTGCAGGACAGAATCAGAAACGTGACTTTTGTGGTGAGTTCAGATTTTAACTCTGTTCTGCATGTTGAGAGAAAAAATCTGCTGATGTGCAAAAGTGGCCTAATATTAGGTAGCTGAATGCTGGACTCAAAGAAATCTAAAACTTTCCCTCATGTACAGCTTTTCACAAAATAAAATAAAACATGCTGCAAATTAGATATATATGGATTAGCTTTAATGGTTTTTCGGTTTTAATTACACAAAAGTATTTGCCAGAATCCTGGATGATCGGCTACTCTAATGGCTCATATTACCCACAATCCACTGCGCTTTGGCGAAGGATGCGGCTCGGAGCTACAAACAGGAGCCGGATTCATTCAGCAGATATGATGCAGTACAGCAGTGAAATCCAGGATCACGCTCGAGTCTGTTTCTCTGTGTTTTGTGCTTCCTCAGTTCAAGATGTACAACGCCACGTTCTCTCAGGTGGAGATCTGGTTCCGCTTCGTGTTTGTGGTGATGACCTTCATCGTGACCGTGAGTTACCGCCGCAGACCGTGTGCATGACTGAGCGGATCTCCGGCGTCTGAAGCTCATGTTGTGTTTGTGTGCAGTGTGTGTTCGCTCACTCCTTGCGCAAGTTCTCCATGAGGGACTGGGGCGTGGAGCAGAAGTGGATGTCTGTTCTCCTGCCGCTGCTGCTGCTGTATAACGGTGAGACCGCAAGAAACTAATGCTTTCATTCAGCACATTTCTATTTCAAATAAATGATCATGTGACGCTGAAGACTGGAGGAATGATGCTGAAAATACAGCTGCGCATCACCGAAACACATTACAGTTTAACAGAGATTCACATAGAAAACAGCTGTTTTAGATTGCAATAATATTTCATAATTTTGACTGTGTTTTTGATCAAGTAAAAGCAGCCTGTGTGAGCAGGAGAGACTTCTTTATCTGATGTGCCGATGCTGTGTTGTAGATCCGTTCTTCCCGCTGTCCTTCCTGGTGAACAGCTGGTTTCCGGGAACGCTGGACGCGTTCTTCCAGGCTCTGTTCCTGTGTGCGCTGCTGCTCTTCTGGCTGTGTGTGTATCACGGGCTCCGAGTGCAGGTACGGCCCCTGACGGCCCTCGCTGGAGCACACCCTCGGCTCGCTCACTCACCTGTGCTCTCACCTGCAGGCGGACCGGAGGCTCCTCACCTTCTACCTGCCCAAGCTGCTGATCGTGGGGCTGCTGTGGCTCTCGGCCGTCACGCTGGGAATCTGGCAAACGTGAGAAACCTGCTGCTCTTCACTCAGAGCTGCTGTCTGATGGGATCTTCATCATGTTTTTATTATTATTATTATTATTATTATTATTAGGGTGAATGAGCTGCAGGATCCCACGTATCAGTACAAAGTGGACATCCAGAACTTCCAGGTGAGTTTCTCTCAGCTCCACACAGTCAGAATAATCATATTACTGAATATAAAAAAGAATGTTGTTTTCCAGAAAATAAGTCACACTAAACACAGATGAGTCACATTTTACTACATTCAGAAATAATGTAAAATGAAACATTATAAACACTGTTCCCCTCTAAAATAAATCCTTCACTTGTGATGCTATTAAGGAATGAAAAATATAATTATAAAACAAATTATAGTGGTGTTTATTATCAACCGTATTCATTTTTTTATACATTTCAGATGATTCAGAAAAAAACGTAAATTCTGAAAAATACTGTAAAACAATCTGAAAAAAATAATAAATGCAAATACTGTAAACAAAATTAAAGAATGTAAGTCGCAGATTTTCAGATGAGAAAAAATGCAACTTGTATTACAGAAAATACAGTAAAAATATACAATTAAAAAAATTGTCTTTGGAAAAATAAAAACATTTGACATCTTCGGGGGAAATACATTCCGAAAAAAAAAACACAAAAAAGTAAAAAAA